AATCATCGAATGACTGCTCCCGCCTGGGTGCGGCGGGAGGGAGTGTCAGACTCTTACTGACTAAAAACCACCCCGTTCCTTCTCCTGCACGTCGAGCCGGAGCCCCGGTTACCCGTTAGGTTCTCCGCGACAACGACTTTAGGTTAGGTTAGTTTTTTTTATGACGATTGAAAGCCTCCTATATCGCCCAGCTTTTTGGATATAAAAGACTAGGGAGTGTCGGACTTTTACCTCACTAAAACCACTCTAGTGGCCATCCTCAAATGGTATGGGGCACCGGCTCCTCTCTAAACGATATCTGCTCCAGAGCCCCCACGGTGCCACGCCTGTTACGGCAGATCCCTAGGGAGACGGGTGTCTTCCCTATATTAGGTGGTCTAGATTTTACTTTCCATCACAAACTAGTTCGAAGCCAGACAAAAGCCAGAAAACAGAAATAGAGAAGAAACAAAAACAGACAATCCACTGCAGTAAAATTTTTGATTGTCTCTAAGAGGTAATAACTTATCCTAAATAATTAAGAAATATAAATCTTACACACATACACATAACATCACGCCTTTTATCCCCGGAGGGGTAGGCAGAGGTGCACATTATGCCACTGTACAATGTAACACCCACTTTTTCACTATTTACGTTATGAGTCCCATGTAATATGGGGTGCTCCATGCTACTACTGAGAATTTTGTTTTAAAAAACCTAGTAATATTTTGCCCGAGCTGGGAATCAAACCCGAGACCCCTTGCCCCGGCAGTCGCACTGGCGACCATTCGGCCAACAAGGCAGTCTTATAAATATAAATCTTAGTATTTTATTTTAAAGTACAGATAGATATGATACGTCAGATAAATGTTTCACTAAAGAAAACTCCTTTCATGAATGGAGTCTCCGCAACCGAAAAGCGGTACATTCAACTATCAACATTAAGTTCCTTGTTGGAGCTGAATATCTCTTATAAACCGTCACAATGGTGGGGGCTTACGGTTGATAACAATGCTATTATTATCTGCCCTGCGGTAATTAGTGCCAGAGAACCCCTTGACAAATTGATACCAAAATGGCATCTTCATTTATAATTCAGCGACTACATTTCGTATTTGAAAACCATTACAAATTTTATCCTTGATTTCAGGAACATTTAAAATAACATACGAATTACGACTGCAACTGGACACCTTTAAAATACTTAGAACAGGTACTTCGATTGCTTAAATGGTTCACAGTAAGTAATAACAGCGTTTTACTCCTTCAAAACTAAGAAACGATTAATTTTAATTGCCCCTTTCAATTTCATGAGCCCTAATAAAATTAATAATTTATGGAAAGGTAATAATTGCAGGTTGTCGACATCGGCGGAATTATTCGGTGTAGAGGTAGATGAGCGATATAAACAATAACAGCACTTGTGTTTATGATATTACGCACATGAATAAGCATTGTGCGCGGAGTAGGAATGGGCGAGTAGCGAGTAGAGCAGTGTGCGGTAGCAGCGCGACTCCCCGCAGCCCACAGCCTCCGAATCACAATAAATCTGAACCGATAAGTAGTCGAGCGGATTGTCGGCGCGGCGCGATCAAAGCGAGGGGAGGAACATGAAAGGCGCCGCCGCCGTCCGACGAGATGTTTCATTCGAAGCCGCGTTTCCACCACCGCCCGTCACGTCTGATTGACCCTTTGTTATGTGACATTTTAATTAATTTCATTTTAATATTGAATGACACGTTTACAGATTTAAATGACGAAGGTAAAGTATTCTGGTTTAGCAGTAATGGGCTCGCATATCACGCGTGTTTGTACTTCTATAGGTAGATCTAGAAACCCATAAACGTTTTATTGGGTGTCTGGCAGACTGACAAGCATAAAGTTGTTATTTGAGACTCATCCGCCTTTATTTGCCAGGTTAATTACACCGATGTCATTAGACCGTATATTACTACTTTAGACCTAATAAAAAGTAGCCAAAAGTGCGATGTGATATGATCGTAATCGTAACATTTTTTTTATGTACGCTCAATAATGTTTGAAGTCGTCCCGCTATATTCTGGTTTATAAGCAAAGTTGACACCCTTGTGTCCGCATGCCAAAAAAGTTCTACTATTCCATTTTCAAAAGTCGACCATACCTGGTTTGATATGAAAAAAGAATTGAGAAGGTGTATGTATAGTAAATGTATATCGTGCCGTAGATAGCTGTGGAGTCGAGTGAAATAGTACACAGAGATTGTAGCAGTTATTACTTTATATGCATGAAGCAATAACACCGTACCTTTGAGAGTAGTCTACTGGCGTCTTGTGTAATTAATTTGCCATAAACAACTCGCATTAGCTATACATTCCTGCTTCGCTCCAACATACTCACTTGTTTACTGCCCCGGCTACGTTTACACAACACTATTTAGTTGATATTACTGGCCAATTACAGACCTCCGTGCTCCCGGCTACGAACCTCATTTTCCTTTAATTTTTTTTTAAACGACCTTTATAGGTACTCCACAATCTCCGTTCTTCTAATAAAAGTAAACAACGTAGTTTTATACAATATTTTTATTTGCAAATAAATATAAACAAACATACAGAAATAGTTCTTTCATTTACTCAGTGTTGAGAAAAAAAACAAAGTAAAATAGGTTGCATTACATGCTTCTGTTATTTATTTAAAAGTTATACATGAATAAATACAGACTCGAAAACAAATAAGGCACTTCTCTTTATCACAGAATACAACGTCTATAAAATTTCTACACACCTATAATCGCTTATTACTTTACACAACAGTATAAAAAGTACCAACACGAACATTTATAAATGTACTTGATTCGCTACAATTTATAAACAAGAGAAGATCACCTAGACATAGACACGTTTAGCGCACAATAACCAATTTATAGAAATTTTAATAATTTCAGACAGTGATTATTATGCACTAAATAAATAATTAAATTTAAAAAGAGATTCCGAATAGTTACATGAAAATCTAACAAGAATCTTACGAGCCAAACTTCAAACCAATTCCATACAAAAAGTATAAGTTTCACATAAATTATTGCATTTACTATCTTCCAAAACAATAAAGCAGTCAGTAGTAACAATAAATTTCTGTTTACTGGTATAAAAATATTATTATGATGTTGATGCGATGAGATCTAAAACTCTGGTAAGAGAATTCCTACCACTAGGAAAATGTATGATAATGATAATTTATTGTTCCTACGTGGAGACCCTTGAGATTCAAATTCCGTGACTCACGAACATTAAGGGATACACACGAGCTATTAAAGTGTCACGATTCTGTATAGAACATTATTTTATCCCTCTACAGATAATATAAATCTCTAAATATTGTACTTACCTGGACTTTACACATATTTGTGGGACTAGGCGCACAAATTAATTAATATTTTGTTTTAATATCAAACAAAATACAATCTAAAAAATAAATTTATTGCTTTAACTTTATTATTATTGCAACAGATGTAATATGAATTAGAAACACGCCATTTTATTCGTACGATGAAATGGCAATGCAACACTGTTGATATTCAAATTATTGCTTTAAAAATATTGCTTTGATTCATACAAATTAAATACCTATGTATGTATTTAATTTTATACATTACTACAAAGTACAAAAATGCCGTCTGTATTCTTGATTTTTTAAATAGTGATTTCATGAAGTGATGATCAGCAAAAGCTCGATTATTACATAATGTTTATAGGAAAATATTGGTACATAAATAATGTAGATATATTATTATTTAGGAGCTACATATACCACAGTTACGCATATTAACTAACATAATATAATAATGGCAGGCTTATATAAATTATCGTTACTGATTTGACAGAAAATAGGAGTATTTAAACAATATCCAAACATACACACTTCATGTGGTATTGAAACGTTTTCAGACCAATTTAGGATTTAAATAAGTATAACTTAATTTAAGACTGTTGACACATTATTTCTGAAAAGATGTTCGTATTTGAGGAGGAGACACAAAGGCTGGGGAATTATCAATGTGATATGCACCTTTTGAAGTTTCGAATCACGTTTCCGAAAACGTGTCTAATCATTTCGATGACAATTAATACGAAAAATTTTAACATAATATCACGCGTTTTATCCCCGAAGGGGTAGGCAGGTGTACATTATGCCACTGTACATTGTAGCACCAACTTTTCACTATTTATGTTATGAGTCCCATGTAATAGGGGGTGAGCCTATTGCCACATACCGGGCACAATTCCAGACTTCGTGCTACTACTGTGAATTTTATGAAAACCCCCGTAATGCTTTGCCCGACCCGGGAATCGAACCCGAGACCCCTCGGCCAATGAGGCAGTCAGAGAAAAATTTTAACTGGGGCAATAATCGATAGAATATCTGAAAAGTAAACAATTTGTGTAATTTTACTCCAGATTATGTAGGTATTTAAATAAGTTAGTTACAATCGAAAATGGCAACGGATCACACAATGTTTTTAGCACCTTAAACTTTAGCCTGTCCAGCTTTTCTGTATGTAAAATTAACCAATTACAAACACGACCTTAACCATATTGAAGACCTTTTCAGAAACCAAGGGAAACAGACCTTAATACCACAGCCTAGAGCTTCTATTGTGCGTTAAAAGCAAGCAATTTTATATACAGTCGAGGGATACAATCTGAGTCGCATATAGTAGGCGTCATGCATTTATTTATAGTAGTCCATCGACTACTAGCTGACATATCTAGACTAACAAGTTGATGCATAAATTATCGATGACATAATGCTATTTGATATCTGCATAAATTATGCTGAAGAATGCAATGCATCATAGATATTGCGTATTTGTTGAAATACAAGTTATAGGATTCTACGACGCTAAACAATATTTATTTGAAGTCAGCCTACATTCCTACCTAAAGGCAAATTACTTAATTGGGGCCCATACACGATCCTGCTATCTACAACTCAAATAAATACACCATTTTATTTAATTCTAATCTATAGGAAGGTTCTCAGCCAAGAGAGAAGAATTGCTTTGTGCTCGGGAACTTAGCTCTTTGTTTCTTAACGAAGTCTCGAGCTTGTCTGTCACCTTGCCGAGTTTCTAGAGCTTTGATTGCTTCGCCATCTGTAACAAATATTAATTTTCTTCAAGAACTTATCTTTTCTTCTATCACAATATTTGATGATATCCGATGATGCCGAAATTTTGTAGTGCGTAATTAAAACAAAACTAAACTGTGTGACGTCAACTGGTTTTGACTAGTTTTATTTTGTAGACGCATTGATTAATACAACAAAACACAATCATCCAGAAATATTGCAATTAAAATGAATTAGGGTATCTTTTTTTAAGGAGGGAAAATCATCGAATGTCTGCTCCCGCCTGGGTGAGGCGGAAGGGAGTGTCAGACTATTACTGACTAAAAACCACCCCGTTCCTTCTGCTGCACGTCGAGCCGGAGCCCCGGTTACCCGTTAGGTTCTCCGCGACATGAATTAGGGTATATGATCGATATATGAACTTATTCTAGCCCTAGTCGCTTCTACAGCCGAATAATTTAAAGAAAAAATTAAGTAAAAGTCCTACAAACCTATACTAGTAGGTCTGGAGAGCGGCAGTAACTGCTGCGGCAGACTGGAGATGGGTGCGGGCGTGTCTGGCACCTCGCTGAAGTGTAAGTATGCTTCGCCCACGAACGTGTTGCTCACGCTGAACATATCCTTGTCCTTGACCACTAAGTGGATCAGACCGTCTGTCAGTCGCCGCTGCTCTGGTGTTAGGGGGCTAGAAGATAAAATCAATATTTATATCTAAGTAGTAAAGTCGGTCAAAAGAATCGTTTTAATTATCTTCTACCTAATTCAGTTAGGGTGTATTGTAACTTTCAATTGGAAAGATCGATGTGAAGTCAATCGCGGTCCGCTATTCATCATATATCATTGGTTGTAAGAATAATCTCGACCAATGAAGGCGAGAATCGATCACAATCGAGCTCCCTTCGAAAGTTCGGATTGACAGTTATAGAATAGACTAGCAGGATTTCATAATAAAGTAAAATTAAATACCTATTCTCATGGGACAAAGTCTTTATATCCACATATAATACTTTACATTACGTCTCATTCTTTGAATAGAATGAACTTATGACCTAAAACCTAGTGAGGTATTCATTCAGTTAATTACGATACTAACTATAGGAGCTTATTTGCAAAATACTTCTTTCTAATCGTAGCACACAAACCACTGTGACCTCGGGGCAATGCACCGTTTAACTTTAAAAAAAGAACTGTCCCACGCACGTAATTCATAAAAAATATGCTGCATTTTTTCAAGAGATCTACGAAGGTATTTAAATATAGATTAAAAACATCAATGACAAGAAAAACAAAATATGAAAAAAACTTATTTAAAGAAATAGAGTTCTGAAAACATAAACATCGGGGCAGTCTGCCAAATAACGTGCATTATTTGGCCTACGGGATCATCTATTTCGATCCGTGAACCTATTCCAATGTTAGCTGTATCGGTATTTTGACTCAATGTCACTGCTACCGGTCTACCATTCTCCCAAAGATCCAGTAACACTCTCAGAGAGTGTAACTGGAAGAAAAAATCCCCATTTCAATTTCTTATCTAATAAAAATATTCTTATTAAAAAGAATGAAAAATTGTTTGTTATCATATTTTAAACTAATTTTGCGTAAAATATCATTAAAGTCAACGAACATTTAAAAAATGACTGCATCGATGTGTTTCTGTAATTGTCTCTCAGTAGATGGCATTATCTCCGGTCGGTTTCCGGTACTTACATTTGGAATATTTCATCATATAGCGGGAACAAATTCTTGTTATGAGTTTGTGTTTTTGGCTTCTGTACGTTGGCGAAAGAATCTTCAGGGAGTAAGGCCACTCGAACGTACGAATCGCAGAGACCTGGAATTATTGTAAACAAAATATGTTCAATTTTCTACTATTGAATGTTATACACGAAATTATAAGGCCACAAAACAACATGACCTAAATCTTACCGTTTGAGTCAGCCGGAGTCAAATTCCTTGCATTCATAATCTCAATCTTTAAATTGTCATCTACGAATTGCGCTCTAACAGTTAGCATGCCCATCTTAGGCTCCTGTATAGTCTGTTGTTCTTGCCACCTTTCTAAATGGAACTGATGAATGAGTTCTCTAGTCTCCATGCCATGTAATTTCAATAAATACTCTACACGTTTCAAAGTTTCCGATGAATAAGTGTCTTTATTGTCTTGGCGGAACGATCGTATCATTATTTTAAGACATTCGTGAAGATTCGAGAAGAATGATGGCGGACGCCGTTTCTGTAACATTCATATTTAAATTAGTTTTCCATTTCTTGTTAGTCATGAACACGAAAATCGAATATATTTTTTGGTAAAAGTATATTTCGATTTGTCGCCGTGTTTACAAACAGAAGTTGAGGCCCATCACCACGATGCTAGTAGATATTAAACGATACAAAGCTCAAACTTCAAACCATCACCCTTCATGCATGTTGAGGATATGGCTTTATGAATATTTCGCATGATAGGTTAAGCATGCAGTTCATGCTAAATACCTAGCAATACCACTAATTTGGTATTCATATCATATTTAAGCTATAGATTTTCGTCATAATATTCAATAATAAGAAGCTTTTTGATACAATACTTCCATCATAGGATACAAAGAAATAGTATACACATGCTAAATTGAGACAAATACACGACTAAAGAGAACTGATAAATAGATAACATTTGACATATTCACAATATAGGATACAAATCTAGACACATCCTTCAAAAAGCTATTTGAAGCGTACAAACATAATGTAACACGAGACCATAGCTTTGAACTCTAACACATAATCATCAACTATCGTAATACATATATATTCTGTTACTAAACAAGAAACATTGAAGCCAAGTCCATAAGTACTTTACATTTTATATACATTGCGAATATTACACGTGCTGACTGCTTATTTACAATTAGCAGCCCGCAATGTATATAAAACATAGTGTAAACTCGGCGGGGTAAGAGCAACATAAGACAATAACATGTAACAAGGTGCTGCTAGAACTAGTGTTTACCGCGTCGAGGCTGGCGGCTGCCGATTTGCTCAAGCGTCGCGGGTCGATATACCGAGTTATCTTTGCCCTTCGGTGCTATTGGAAAACAACAACAAAACAAAACTAATTTATCCAATATTTTCATGTTTTACTTGTGGCTAAACTAAAACAGATGGCAGCACCATAGCATGGCCCATTTCTGTTACTCAATAGTTTTATTGGCTGCAATAAAGTATGACACTAATTAATTTATAGAAAAATTATGGTGATGCCATCAGTTCAGTTTATATTTCCATTTAATTATTTTTCTAGGAATATAATTGCGAAACTTTCTGACTAGTTTAGAGTCAAATAGAATCAATAAAAATGCAAAAATGCTAGTCGTAAACTAGTAAGAAAATATCGAGAAACGTATTTAACTAATTTCTAACTACCTACTACAAAGGAACAGAACACAAAATTAACCATGATTTAAAATTAGCATTCTATTTACTTCGCCGCTTCACGGTGAACATAATTTAACCTTCAAACGTCAGTGCAGAATAAAAATAATTACTTAGTGAACCAGGAAATGGCTATTCACAAATCATTTGTCCATCCTCGTATAGTAGTAAAGTTCTACAAAAAGGCTAACAATTAAAAAATCTTTAAGCGTAATTGCATCTGACGAAGCGTTTTATTTTTATAGAGTACTAATTACGCAAATAATAAAATTATACTAGATAAGTAAGTACCAGTACTGACTTAAAAAATAACTGTTGGCTCAATATAAATGTGCAGTGCACACTTCTATAAGAAAAATTGCAATAGCGTGCGATACAAATGCAACATTATTTACCCTGAACATAATAGAGTAGGGGGATACTTTGTTTTTTCCAAAATATCTACGCCTAAACAAGCGAATACGGGTGGCGAGTTTCTCTTGCTACAAACGAAAAATTAAAAATTTGTTAGTATTTTGAGTTAATCTGTCCGTTATGTTTGTGTTGAACCCTGTGAGAAATGCCTGATGTATGAAAAATGAATGTATGTTTTGTATGCGAGTTAGAGAGTCAATAATTGAAATTATAATTCCAAAATATGCTTAATAATTAAATAAGAGCAGATCACAATCTTCAAAACAAGGCATTGAATTGGTTTACGTTTCATTACGTAAATTAACTTCAAAATCATCGATATATTTGAAGACTCGATAAGATAGGGCATTCTTGTTGTATCACCCAATAACAATAACAAAACAAACTTGCTTGTCGAAAATTGACATGCAAATTCCGGTAGGACGTTCCTCAAATATTTTCATCTCTATATCAAACGCCAAATTCCAAAGATTATGTAATACTAGAGCAGATTAGATAGTTAAATATGTTAAAACAATGCAATTTTACAGCTGAACTGTTAGCAGCTAAACTAAAGTCAAGCTGAAATACAACGTACCTCCAAATTAGCTTGAATGAGTTCGTAAAGCACTTCACCCAATTGTTCCCATACAATCTCCAGTGTTCTGGAGAAGTTTTCGTTGTTCAAGTGTTGGTACAAAGTGTCCAAGTTTGCTTCTAAATAGCGCATAACGCGGTCCATGCTCGAACAGTCTTGATGCAAGAGTTCCGCTCCTTCCATCAAGAAACGTGTGATGGATGGCATCATCTGAAATGAGAAACATCTGAGATAACTGCACGGTTGGCGCGGTGGTTGGGCAACTGGCTGCCGGGCAGCGTGTCGCGGATTGGATTCCCGCATGGAACAACTCTTTGTATCCACAAACTTTTGTTCCGGGTCTAGGTGTCATGTGTTTGTGAACTTGTATGATGGTGAACGCACCCACGACACAGGAGAAAATCCTAGTGTGGGGCAACGTTTTTATTTAACAAAAAGAAATATGATAATAGGCTCACCCCTATTACGTGGGGCTCGTAACGTAAATAGTGAAATGATAAAAGGCGTGATGTTTAGTTATGTTACAAAAAAATTGACCAAAATCATATAATTAATGTCAAAAAGAAACTTTAGATTACGAGGTCAATGGTACTAACCTTTCTAACCATGATTTCCAAAAGATCCACAATTTTATTTCTTACAGTATCTATCGCATTTGCGATGACGTTCTGAAGTGTCTCCTTACATCTGAAAGTATAAAGCAATAATTTGATTATTCCAACATTAGATTTCAGAGCTGCAGATTTTATATGAAAACTAGCGACTCACTCCAGTTTGAAAACCAGGTACAACTATTGACAAAAGTTCTCGTGCAGATTAAACTTTTCACAAAATATATCAAATGGTGTTAGAAAAAAGAAAAAATAACTTTTAAATAAACGTTTTTTAAGCAATTTTACGGTAACATGAAAAATTACCTCTGTGCTTCCACAGGAGAGCGAGCTTCACACATCTTCTGTATGATTTCCTCCATACCGAGCTCGTGGACGAAGGGCGTGAGACTCTGGCGCACGTAGTCGATGTTGTTGATGGCGACGCACCAGTCTGTGGTCACTTCAAACCGCTCCTCGAACACATTGCTCACTAGTCCCACGTTGTCCACACGACTCGCCATCTTGTCCGAATAGAATACGCAACAGCGGCAGATGTCCTGGATCATCATAAAGTACCAGTTAGTATTCAGGATTTATATTACCTTCAAAAAAATTACAATAAAAATGGTGCTAAAATGCTTAAAAGTATTAGTTCCCTTTTGAAGCAAGCAAAAAGTGGGACATACCACCCAAAGTAGAATTGCCCACTCCTACCTATTTAGATACTTTAATACACAATGTAAAAAAGGGCTTCTCCTACCTCACAAATTCTTGTTCAACACTTACATCAATAATTTTGGCTACAAATGTGTAGCAGCCTTCGACATCGGGCCATGCGAGTTGTTGCCAGAATATCTTGATCTGGTAGAATATCGCCAGGGTATCGACTCCGGAGCTACTGTACTTGACGTTGGTGTCCACTGGGGCCAAAGTATCAAGGTCCACGGCCTTCTCGATGCGCGTGAGTGCCTTGTATGCGGCGATGTCCAACCACTGGGCCACGCCCCCAAAGAACCACGCGTGGAATTTTGATATGGCGTATGATTGCCAGTCAGTCTCGTTCAGCCCTTGGCCCAATCTGTAATGAGAATTACAAAAGCTTTAGATACCGTCACGAATAATGATAATAATGAAGAAAACACAACAAGGTAAACAAATTGTGAAACCGACAAACACTTTATATAAGTTTCGTAATATGTTGGTAGGTATGTACTTAATAAATAGGTACTTAACTATTATGGTATTTAACTACAATGACGGCACGGTTGGTGCAGTGGCTGGGCAACCGGCTGCCGTGCAACGTGTCGCGGGTTCGATTCCCGCACGGAACAACACTTTGTGTGATCCACAAATTGTTGTTTCGGGTCTGGGTGTCATGTGTATGTGAACTTGTATGTTTGTAAACACACCCACGACACAGGAGATAATCCTAGTGTGAGGCAACGTTTTTTAAAAGAAAAAAAAGTAAAAAAAAGTCTTTATTTAGAAGCAGATGTCTTGCGGTCAGTTTTTTTCATGTTTGCTTCATAGTTTTCGGAGCATAATTGCTACCGTTCAATAAAACACAATATTAACAAAGTGACATTATTTTCCATGTTGTTGTTTGCCGGGAAATGACGGTCGACGCGACGTGAGACGGTTTGCTCATTAACTTAAATATTCGACGAAACTTCGCTCTGTAGTCAATTGTTTTCACATTAGGCACACATTAAAATGCAAATACCTATATACAAGTTATTATTTATTATATTACAAGTAATCAGTTGGGAAATTTACTTTAGTAATTAGGTACATACATTTACTTTAAACCTAATTCTAGATTATGTGTTAAATCTGTAAGAGCTGTATTAGAAAAATCTTTTTGCATTTCTACCCGACGTAGCAATCAAAACTTCAACACGTTGCATACCAACCAATAAGTTTTAAATATTTTCCGCATTCAAATATCTAAAATCTTACCAACTTGCACAAGTCTGAGTTCATTTACCATGTGACTAATATAATGAAAATGTGCTAATGAATGATGCACGCTATCTACGTGAGTAAGATACGAAAGATGTAAGTAAATAATAAGAGATCTGTTTCGATTATCTTAAGAATCACCTACTGTCTCCTTAAACAAAGGGCGAAATTATAAGTTATCAGTTACAACTATCACACAACGGATGCGAGTATAGTGATAGCATTGATAGAAATGATAATGATACTCACGTTAAAAACCTTTGCAGAGTGAGGTACAGCTCAAACAAAGTAGTTCCCATAGTCAGGGGTTCTGAGCCGACGGCGGAGGCCCCTAGTCCGGTCTCTCCATTGATGCCTCCAGCCAGAGTGGTAGTTGACCCCTCGCTGTATCGCAACCTCTTCAAACTCTTACAAACATCCACCACCTCGGACTCCACCAACGACGCCAACTTGCTTTCATACAACCCGTACAAAGCCTTAGAATATGGGAAGCCCATGACTCTGTAACGAATTAGCGGTCAATAAATATCATTTACATAACAAGCATGGTAACAAAGAAAATTGTTCTAAAAATAGATGTGACTGCACTTTGAGTGTGAATAAGCGCTGCTATTGAAAATTGTTTGCGTAGGTATACTTACTCAACAAACAATCTGTCGTAATACTCGACGGCTCGCTGCAGATCTGATCGAACTAACTGTATGACTCTGATCAGATGTTGTAGCCTCGTGTCCTCCGTGTTGTCCTTGCACTCGTTGTTGTCCAGTATGTGGACGAACCAATCCGAAGCACCCTGTATCACAGCCTGCTCCAGCACCATGTGAATCGTTAACTTTTCCTTATCATCCCGCAGCCATCCATACAGATTCACTGGGAACAAGTCCAAACTCTCCGGAGCATCTAACACGGACAACTTGTATAGAATTTTGAGAACTTCTTTGAGCGTCTTCATGACAGTTTTGTCGCCAGCAGTCTTCTTCCTTAGTTTCCTAATGTGACTGTAGCATGTTGGGAGAAGTTTCCGCGCGCCATCCCAGAACAGCTTGACGTCCTCTTCATTAATTAGACCTGAAATCCAACCAAATAAAACATGACAGGTTAAGCACGCAAAAATTAAAGATGATCCTAGCTAAAAGAAATATAAACTCACCCGATTGTAAGGGCTTGGTGATTTTATCGAGCAAGGTGTTGAAGAGTGCGAAGCTGAGCGGATGGTCTGTGGTGACGGCGCAGTAGACTGCCCACTGCGCCAGACAGTTGTCGGTGGCGCTGAGGCCGCTCTGCGCCACGTGCTGTGTCAAGATGGCTTCCGCTGCTGCGCTGTAGTTGCCGCACCACCAGTATGGTGCCACCTGAAGATACCAAATAATTCTCGTCAAATATTTCCACACTTATATCGGGACTAATTTTACATGCACACATCACATCACTCGTTAAAGTCATTGCTCGTTAATATTGACAACAGAAACAGACAAAGAGCAGGGTGCCCAAGCAACCGTAACAGGCATTCTTTGAGTGACTAAACAGGGAACAATGCGGGGTTTATTTTGAAACTGTTATCAATTACAAATTCAGAGTAAAGCTAAGAACTACACAAAAGACAGTTAGTATGAATAGTGGCGTTAGTTGTGTAAATAGGTAAGCATCACGTTAAGGGAAAACCTTGATCGTTTTGGTCATGAACGGACATGAGGTTAATGACCGAAAGGACTAACCAAACATTGCAACATCATATTCTAAACTTTATGAATTTAATATTCTAGCAAGTTCTGTTAAAATACCATATTGAACCACCTATTAGTGTATAGTCTAAATGTTAATTATTGGCGCAGTTACCATTTTAGAGAACCAAGGCCATTTCAATAATTCGTGTAGGCAGTAAACAAAAAGTAACAGGATTCGAAGCATATACCAGTTGTTTTACCTAATGCAAAAACCGTGTCTGATGTCAGGTATACAAAAACATGTTTACTTTATTTTTCAGACTAAAATTATATTACAGGGAAAAGTTTGCAGTAACATAATTTAATAGGCTCATTTGTACGTAAACTATTTATATTAATTAGTTTGCCACTCGCCGGATTTATAGGCAAACCAATTAATTTCATGTCTGAGCCTTATAATAAGCGCTCAGTACAAACATCTCGGTAGTCTGAACCAGACCATGACCTTACTAGTATGTTTACTTCGAGCCACATACCTACATAGGTACAGACATTTTACGATCGAAAAATATGACTAGTACTCTCAAAGGCACGGTTAGTATGTGGTTTATCTGTTAAACTTCTAACAGAGACATAAAATGAAACACGCCAGCTGACGTAAGTCTCAGTTCAATCGAGTCCAAAAAGTTTGGTAGCTCGATCATAAAATGACGAGAGTTGCAATTTACGACTGTTTTTCGTAACTATCGGACAATAAAACTATGCAGTGCAAAAATAGAAAAACCTTCAATAGTTTCGTAATTTTGCTTAATGAATGTGCTCATAGACATCATATGATTTTCGTGGAAACAACAACGATTGATGCATCTATTACATAGTTGGTTAAATGAGATCATAATATATTATGAAACATCGATGAAGCTTGTCGCTATAAAAATAGTTTGAATAACTGGCGTTCCGAGTTCTTTTATGGAGTTACTAGTAGCGTGTAACACATGGTACGTAGGTCAGTGTTCAGGGGAAGTATGTGATTAGTATGCATAGCTCGAATAACCACAGCACTTGTGCGAGTGACTAACATACCTCTAATCTATTACACCTATTATTAATTTGCTGGTCACTATTTACGCAGTAGACTAACCTTTGAGTTTTCGAGCTCATGTAGGAGTATGATCCTGAGGAGGTGCCTGTGTTCTTGAGCTGCTACTTGGGAATTCTTCTCTGAAGAAAAGTTGAGCCGTACTTTGACAACGCCCTGTCGTCTTAGCTTGCTCTTCTTGCTAAGACTGTACCACATGTTCATCCCTCCGGCGGGAATTGACTGCAAAAAATAAAAGTTATTGTAAGAAGATGTCAGAGTTTTTGTATACTTAGAAGTAAGTTGCTAGTTGTATTCCTTACTTTGAGTGGAATATTAGATGTCCCAATTAGTTCATTATCATGCTTCCCTGTAGAAGCAGTGATAGCTATCTCCTTCATAAGCTTCCTGAGCCCCTTCACTCCTTTAACTTCAAATATCTTTGTCATTTTCTCCTTCACAGTCTCCGCGGGGTCAAAGTCCCTGAAAGGTAATAAACAGGTTGTTCTCAAGCATCTTATATTTACTCATAAACAAGTCAATGGTATTAGTTACTGGGACATAAAACTTTAATTACTGTACTTTATGTCACCTGGGTAATTAAATGTAGAATATGAATAGCTACAAGATGTGGTTAAAACAGTTGCGTGTTAATAACACGGCTATTAAAAACTACAATACAGGTATATCGGTTCAGTGAAATCGCTAATCACAGCCGTAAACGGAGTCAGAGGTCACTGACCCTGAATTGAGGTTTTTTGGTTTTCCTAGTTATTCAATTGTTTTGGTCACGCAGCTTTAATTTTCATTCAACAGGCAGATATTTATAGTAGTAGTAAGAAGTGTTTAATACGTACCACACTTCCAACACAAGGGAATCTTCTTGCACACTTCCTGGCATTGGCCTGAAAGTATAAACATAGTATAATTACGTGTATGCGCACAGGCAAGCGATGTATGAACGGGGCGTTTATCCGTGAGAAATGTTTGCCAATGAGCTAGACCTCGCGTGAGTTAGCGCTAATGCAGTCGTAAATTTTGTAGGAGCATGTTACTCTACCACATAGTACTATATTGTTAGGAACATTTCTCTGCTAACGTCATCGGGTTTATGTGGCACGTACTAGGTCACATGCATCGGGAAATTGAGGTGAAAATCACATTGCTTTTCTTTCAAAACTGTTTACATTACCGAAGCGTTATTGCATAAGATAAATCTAATAATGCATTTTATATCCTTGTAATCTGCATATTTTGCACACCACACATGACTTTATCCTCAGTCAACGTGTTTCCCCGGCTTTGTAGACATTTCACTTATTTACACTTCTCGGAAATACTGCATTCATTGTTTGCATAAGATAGCAAGTTAAATGCCTCATATTCAGAATTTTGTTTGACGTTGAAGAAAAACACATCACTTCTTCAATTACTTAATGACTTAGAGGTATATTCCAAAAACAGTGACATTATTTTATGTATACTTACAAAGAAAAATGTTCCTCCCATGACGGGTTAAGAGTTCCCGACTTGACTGAGGTGTTGTACCTATGTGACGGGTTTGACATCAAATATATTGTGACGAAAGGATCACTTAGACCATTCGGGTCTTTAGGAACCAACTCTTTGGCTTCAACCACTTCCACATTGAGCATCAACTCCGGTGGTTCCTTCGCTTCAGCTTGTGTGAGCAGTTCTGTGTGTTTGTCATTAGCTATTTTGAAGGCTTCTTGTATGTAGGACAGCATAGCAAGCTGTCCGACTTCGCACCCTACGTCACATCCCCCGACATTGTGCAGGATCTCGTAAAGTACTTCCAAATAAAGTTCATCGACCTGGAAAATAGCTTTTGTTTAGATTACAATGATAGGTGGTGCTTGCATGACGCTTGCAGTCTTGACCTATATTATTATTACATGCTAAAAATAGACGTGATAATTAGAACTACTAGGCGAGTAGACTGTGTAGGTATCTGTCACGTAAGTATACAGCTATATATGTCTCAGGAAAAACTATTGTAACTAAGGTACAAATTCACACGATTATGAAGCATATATTTTCATTGTTCTCGGATCTGAACATACATAATCCTAGGGATTGCCGTCCTATTGTTAATTATTTAAATTCCTTGGTAAATACCGTATGTACATATTTATTTGTTTATCTATTTGTACTTTATTGTACATCACATAACTTACAAAAAGTAGTGAAGAATGCACAAGGCGATAGTTAGATATAGTATAAGGCAGCAGTTGACCTTTTATCAAAAAATCAGACCAAAATAACGTAGGTGTCACGTAAATGTTCTACTGTTGTAAATATTAAATGCTACAAGTCTCTGTTTCTGCAATTTATACATTTGCTATTTTAATAGAGGTATAAAAATTATTAAGACCTTTGTAAATTCAAACACTTTCTCAGCCACTTTTTCAGTAAAATTATCACATTGCAAAAATACCACCATCTTATTTATTAAAGTTTCTTAGTTACAAACACAGAAATGCACTATATTCCTATTTATTTATCACTTAAACTACTACATTGCACCACTTACCAACAGAAAGTGCCAATTCGTTTGCTCAAACTAGTAAGTTATTTTTATGAAGTACCTATTGAGATATATCAAACTCTTGATAATAACCTTCTAATTGAAACGATAAAGCACTTAAGTAAATGCAGTTGTAATAAGATAGGCTGCCGATCCATTTATTGCTTATCTGGCCTCACTTGCATCTACGTATGCAACCACCACGGCAAGAACGTGACAACAATGATGGTCAGGAATATTTTAAGTCACTCGCTCACTGTCTGTTCATTCAAACCTGCCAGTGTAGGTAGATAGATGAGTACACTCACCGACGAATCGTAATAATATCGCAATTTCATAAACCAGTCGACGGAACCGGGATGCAAAGTTGCACAACAATAGCTTCTGCACTGCAGCTAAAACCACAACTGAATGAATCATCGATAGTTTGAATGATAGGGTATCCTGGTAACGACACCACCGGAACGACCCGACCACTACGCGACGGAACACGAATGTCGCGGCCGAGGGAACTTTCACCGAGTTTTTAGTGACCCTCCTAAAATAGTAGGGTTACTGCGCCGCCGTGAGAAGTCTATCGATCTGATGGAAAGGTGGTATGTTTACAACTGCCCAGTTATATAGTAACTCCGTATTTGTGACATTGCTGGGTAATTTTTTATTAGACATCTATTCTTCGAACTTTCATGACGCATGAGACACTTAAAATATCTCGTAGCGAATGGGCCAGGTACGAGGAAAATAATTATCTAACCGATGAGTTTAATGACCTCAAAAAACCTATTGGTAAGTAAAATTGTAAGGAAACATTGGACCAAGGGAATATTTTAATAGGAATATGAGTAAAACAGATTTCAAAGTGATTTTAACATATGAAGATTTTACACAATGAAGCCTCCAAAAGAATTTAAAACAAACATGCGTTTTAAGTGACTAAAAACATTAAAATTGTATACATCTACCTAAGATTGGTAACTCTATCGATAAAACAAGAGCATTAAATGCAAGTTTATCGACAATTGCACTTTGCACGTAACGAATGCGATAAAACTGAGATTTGTTACGGAACCATTTATTATTTCTTGGTATTATCCAGCAATTATTTACATTATGTGATCAATGTTAGATTAAAAAGGTATATAAAATTAGGGAAATTTACAAACTGTCATAGATTGGATCAGCATACTGGTCTGCCTTTCTAACAACTCTTTCTTCACGCCTCTGAATTTAGTCCGAAGTGTCCCCATACCATTCATTTTTACTGAATATTAGTCTTTGACTGTCACATATTCACAAAATTCACTAAAACAACACAACTTTTTTAACACTTGGTCATAAACTACGAAATTTAAAATGGGCCGCCATCTTCCATTGACGAAGTACACTGTTCACTTCAAGTTATCGATATTATTGTGGATACACGAGATGAGCAACACAAGGAAAGTGTAGAGAAATGAGTGTGGTGGAAGCTGGCGGTGCACTGGCGGAGTCCGGCCGACTGGGACTCGGGATTGAACCCGCACTGCCGCTGCCGCCAAATTCTATTTTTGCAAAGCGCCGCCAACGAAGACGAATGCGAGAGCACACCTAAATAATAAAAAAAAATCTCCAAAATATTTCAAGACACCAGCTGATGTGATGTCTCACTCGGTCAATATCTTTGTTGGAATGATCAAGCTTCCTGTTAAATATCATTTAATAATAAACTCCATATTTATTACCTTTGTACTCTGTTAAGATGTGCATTTTATGTATAATTATTTTTTCTTATTTTGGGTTAGTTCAAAAAGGAGCGAAAGTTTATTCAATTTTGCGGATTATTCGATCCATTGACGCAACAGTTTGAACTAGCTTCAGGTCTGTAGCTCTCATAGCAATTTACCTACATGTACATTTAACTAATGCCGTCTGTATATTATATACGAGTATGTTCCTCTTAGAACAAGAAACAATATCTACACAACAGAACATTCTCATGAGTTTAATGGAATACCAAACGTATTTTTATGTATCAAAAAATACATAACACTTGAAACGTGACTATAAATCGTGAGGGAGGCCGTTACAGCGTTTAATAAATTTAGTAATTTTATTTATTGCATATAATAACTCTAGTTTCTAATGGTAATGTAGGTTATCGACCATTGTCAGCCGTATGAATATTAGCAATGCTTGAAAACGGATATTGGAACAATAATAGCTATTATAATTTCATATAATGAGCTTAAACGATTGATGAATTTACCCAAAAGAGGTATGGCAGAATCGTGTCATGTGGTATACTATTCTTTTGTCTCTACTTACTCCATTGTGAGACATCATGGTTGCAGAATAGATATGTATTATAACAAAATCCAATTTGCATACCTTCTATCAAAAAAACCAGACTAGAATAGTAGAATAGTAATATTATATTTTCAATGATATCGATTATCACAAAAGTGATTCCATGCAATATCAAATTTTACCAGATGCATGCGAAGGATAATTGATGGATAAACCCAATTACAGTACATTTCTCTTTCCTTATTGGCGTTTTATTACGCATCTTTCCAACTTCTCGGTAGTGTTTAATATACATGTAAGTAGTGTTGAACACACAATCAAAAACCAAGGCTCCCAGTTAGCAGGGCAACAGGCGCGCGTGCTGAACGATTTATTTATTTTATTAACCGCGTGCGTTTGGGCTTGCCGGGAACGGAAACTACTCTCTACACTACATTATTGCCAATTTATTTACATAACTGAACTTCAGTAAGCGTTGGTACACACTGTTTAAGTGTATAGTCTGAATTAGATTAGAATTCAAGACGAATAAGAACTAAATATAGGTGTTCGTAAGAAAAGTAAGGATTTGCTTTGATGTTATTTTACAAGCGTCTTTGTTTAGCTTTAAAGAAGTGTGGATTGTGTGTTGGTGAAAATAAAACTATAGGTAAGACCACTTATGAGATACTCTGTTTGAATTAATTAGTCTAATAAAACACTGGAATATTATCTGTATGGATCGCAAGTTCAGTCAAGTCTTTGTTTTATTTAAAAAAGATACAAAACAGTTTTATTTGAATACAAAGATCTGTTTTGTAGTCAGATCTACAAAACAGATCTTTGTTTTCATATTGCCTACGTGTAACTCTATCCTTTACTTTGCTGGTACTAACTCCATATGTGAGATTACGTTAATGCATCTTGAGATTACCCACGCCGTACATCAAGCAAATAACTGTCTAAATCTAGATGATGTAAAACAAAAGTTCTTTGGCACGTAAGAAGTGCTATGTATCTAAGCATCTAGTATCTACTAATAATAATATCTACTTTGAAGTTAAAGTACTTTGAACTCTATTTGCTTCTACATTTACCTATACATATAAAATATACCCGCTTACTTTCTACCTAATCATTTGTCTTTGTTTTTGGTTTGTTTTTTTTTTAATATTTGTTATGGATGTCTTGTTATAGGATTTGAGATTCGCAGGTGCGTTAACAAACGCCCTGTCGATGTAGACGGGCGTTTGTTACCGCACCTGTATTATGGATATGGATATTATGAGTACTCAAAAAAATTTACAGAAATAATTTCTCAATTTTTATGTGCACGAATTGAACCCACGACTACAACGATGCTACTTTGCGCTGCGCAGCTAAAAGTCCAACCACGACGCCAACCGTGCAGTTAGCGGATGTAATTAAGCAGCCCTTAGCCTATATTTGTTATGTACTTATTGAATTGGAATTATATGCTCGTAAAATATCAAATTCTATTCTATTCATCACAAGTATCAACAGGCGCTTACCATTGACGCATAAGTAAATGCACTGTTACAAAAAACTATAACCGGAAAACAGTTAAAAATTCCAAGTAAAAAAGAGGAACGACATTGGAGATGACGTAGATATTTGGAAAAGTCTACAGCGGTCATTGAGATCAACCTTGGTAGGAAGTTGACAAAATAAAACGAGAAAAGTGAAAACCAGCTGGATTCGTGCCAAGGACGCGGGCGAGGAGCGCGCCCATTGTGATTGAGACCACACAACAATATTGTGTATGTGTCCCGACGACGTAGAGGAAAAGACGGAAGAAAATATAGGTACCCAAACGTATCTTTACTGTTGATTCTATAATGACTCTTTGTGCACTATATGGATATACTACATACTAATCATCCTTAGCATTGGTCAAAAGGATTCGGTGCATTTCACTAAAGACATAAAATAATAGCAGATCATCTAAGTAAGCCTATATATACATTCGTATATCTTCCATTCGGTAGTACATGTTTATGTGTAAACGTTAAATCCAGAACAACAATACAGTTAGAAGAAGCGAGCGTTGCAATCGTGACACCACCTTGGAATATTGCCCATGATAGCAAATACCTCGGGTTAATGTCACTGCATCGTTTCGGAGCAACGGAGCCCAAAATTAGCTGTGACACACTTTCCCAGGATAGGTATAGCCCAATGTCTAGTTCAATTAGTAAGTAGCCCCGGCTGGAGTTCAGGCAATTTCGCCCAAAAATACAACAGATGTCGCAACGACACTTGGCTAACTAGCAGACGAGTTTCGAGATCATTGATTTCCGCCCCGATGAAATGTTTATTGTCAGTGCACTCTCCTGCAGAACCAATTTAGGGATATAGGTCAAATCGTGTAAATAAAAGTACGGCTAGCTAGTACTTCTAAAGTGGGAAGTGGGCCCTCCATCAAACAATTTATGGGTATTGAAACATGTGATATAGTTGAATTCAAACGGTAAAAATAATGAAATAAAAAAATACCTACAAACACATTCAAACCCACCTATTAGTAAGACATGTATTAAAAGAGATTAATCCTTACTAATATTATAAATCGGAAAGTGAGTTTGTTTGTTTGTTCCGACTTCACGCCGTAACTACTAAACCGATTGCATTGAATTTTTGCAGACGTAAAGTTAGTAGTCTGGATTAAATAATAGGGTACTTTTTATCCCGAAAAAATTAGATATTCCCGAGGGAAAACAAAAGTATTGGTATAGATGGCGCTGTATGTATTGGTGTATGTCACATAGGCTACTTTTATCCTTTTGTAGCGCAAGCGAAGCCGCGGGTAAAAGCTAGTTTTCAAATATAAATGAGTAGATAAACGTTAGATAAGTCAATAAGATGTAGATAGTAGATCAAATACCCACACACACAAAAATCAGAATAGAACAAATACATTGTATTTAACCACTCCTACGTATTTATACAAATAGGGAGATGTTCTGTCTTTATATCCATCTATAATTGCAAACGTAGTTATGTAGAAGACACTCAACTCAATGACTAAACAAATATAATATATGTATCTAATCGTTTGCATTAGATACATATATTATATTTGAGGCACTAATTAGAGGCACAATTAGCATAACAAATAAATGTGATAACCATACTCACGTTCCAGCCGACCGCCTCGACATAGCGATCTATTTTATCATGTTCCTCTGGTTCAGAATCAGTGTCCAGCAGGGTCTCATTGCCACTATCAGAATCCCTTAAGATGCTCTTAGAGTCCTGTTCAACTTTTTGCTCCCCATCTTGTTCTTCAACCTCCTTCAGAGGTGCTAAAGGTGTCGATTCCTCTAAAGCGGCTTTTTGAGAAGCTTGCTTTAGAATAGATCCAAACTTTTCGAAGAAACTGTCGTCTACTTCTTGTATTCTGTAACAAACATAAAACTTTGATTAGTTTTTTACCTCGTTGGAAATTCTTTCAAAGTGCTTCGTTACATAGATATTTACATATTGGTAGTCCTTTGCATGTCAAAAGAGTTCCTATAAGGTTATAAATATAAAAATGAACTGACCAACGCAATGGGTTGACACCGTCATACAACAGGGCATGTAAAACTATAAATAATGCCCCTGCTAAAACTAAAATGTGTGTTGTGAAAGATGTGTATAATATTTGGTATATTTTTATATTTTTTAATCGATAATATAATTCATAAAATATAATACCATGCCCCACTGATATCGATAAAAAATCGAGTAAATACATCACTATTTTATCGATATCGATAGTCATTTTCAACGTGTCCAGCACTACAGCCGTCTAAATTGTAAATACCGTTATGTTGGCTGAACTCTTTCGTCAGCTATTTAGTTTTAAAGTTGGTAATGGAACTTTGACGGTTGGATTGCACTGACAGCTGTGTTACATACCGGTTTTAACCACAAACCAAAACAAAAAAAAAATTCGCTTATATTACGACTTTCGCATTTCGTATAATTATCCTAATTAGGATTATCCAAAATAAGTAAGAAAGATAAAACCTTCGGATAACAATCAAAGAGACAGTCTTTGGCTATGGTACATAATACAAATTCTAGATGGCGCTAGTTTAATATCGTAAGTTTCATTTTAGATTTTTCAAGTATTAAAAAGAAATGATTTAGTAGAATATTGTTTAAGAGTGTTAAGATATAAGAGGTTCTGAACAAATTTTAATTAATAAAAGAAAGAATCTAACTACTTGCCACAATTTTCATACGCTTTAGTGTGGGTACCGGTACCATCCAAACATTGTAAGGTAATAAAAATGTTTTTAAACAACAATATTTACAACGCGTCTATTTCATAAGTTATAACTAGGAAAGTAAAGCAACCAAGCAGAACCTTCCCTACAATGGATGAAAGTTAAAATATGTTAAAAATAAGAAGGTACCCATGTTAGAACTTAATTTACTCACTTGTAATCATGCACTTGTTCTTCTACAGATTTTTGTTGCTGTAATTTGTCGTAAAAACCTTTCCACATTGATTCTTCATCCATGATGCGAAATTACACTGATCAAATTAAGATTAAATATTTGTGATTAAGTATTTTCTCAAATAAAACTAATAGCGACCTGCCTGTTACGCAGCCTAAAATAATATGCAGATATCCACCGTCATCGATATACACAGTGAATCACAAAAACAATCGAGTCATAATATGGCCTGGAAGAAAATGACGTAAACACCGCCAGTTTACTCGGAGTTGGATTTAATCCGGAAATAACGTTATACACAGCGGTGAGAGCAACCGGCTTCTACTTCAATACACTTCACAACAGAGTTCACTGACATTTAGCTGATTTGTGCACATATATGTATAATACCTACAGATCTAAGTAGGTAATAAGATTGTTTCGTATTTTGTCGCGTTTAAAAATGGAACCGCGTCTTCGTTTGTTTTGGTTTCGGTCGCAGCAACGCGGCAGCTGGGCCAGACTGACGTAATTCGAACCGTTTCAAGGTGGCTCTGAACAAGCCAACGTTCTGCGCACACCACACTCGCCGTGCCACGGCAATGTGCAAACTAAATGGTCTGCATTAGCACACGTGCTTTTGTAATGTCACACAATCAATCTGTAAACATTGAGACAATGATTCTTTCTGCCGGTATAACATGAAGATATTTTAAGACCATGTTACATACAGAAAAAGATAAGATAAGAATCATTTTAAATTAACACTAAATAAAAAATCACATGAACGGTAATAATCACACGATTATAAAAAAGAATGGTTCAGATTGTCAGATCAATACATATACATATACCCTCCACTTATATGTAATATGTGCTAAGTAGGTAAGTCTCAAATCGAAAATTGGATGGTAGATACCAGCTACCATAACTAGGTATGTATTAGGTAAATACCATCGCAATTATTAGGTATATCTGTGATAAGTACCAACAGTAAAGAAAACTATTTTTCAGTAGTATCCTCTCCTTATTAACTACCTAAATAAATACTCAACTACTTATCTCTTAAGGCTACGACCTCAATGCTTCTAATAAAATTGTAGTTACCTAAGTAAGTACCTACCAATTAATTTTCCGCAAGACAAAGATCATTTGACACAAACGCCTTGTGATTTCTCATTACATAGGTACCTACCTAATTATTGTTAAACAATAGATCTACCAAGTTCGCGTGTCAACTAGTGAATATGGTTACCTGTAAGACTTAAAAGGTTTCAAGTTTTATCAACAAACAGGTCACACCTGTTGATAGATATGTATGTTGATCCTTACATTACGTAAGGAGGAAATGGTCGCTTGCTAACAAAGTCATTAATTAGGGTTTATTTCAACAGAAAGTATTACTTAAATAAGTATGTTACCAGTGTCTTTAGCCAAACGCCACTTTACAGAGAGTAGAAAACTAAATGTATGGGGGGGACACTGACAAGTGTCAAAATTTACGTCAATTCCATATAATTTGGTTTTCTATTCTACATGTAGACAAGCGCTAAATGGTATTTGGCTACAGCACCTACAAGACAACTATTAAGTTTATTTGACTAAATAAAATAGAGTTAAAAGTTAAAATCTTTAAACCGTTAATAATAAGTAACTAGGTAGGTACCTGTTGATAGAAATTAGACACGTAAATACATTTTAGCTACAATAAATGTACCGGTAGATAACCCGTAGCCGATATACAGAATAGCCTGCAGCTGCAACCATTATCTCTGTGGGTGTAACATTATTCTACAACAAACACAGACAGACCAGACTTGTTTGTCACCAACATACCTATTACCAATATTTTTTTACAAAAATCCGTCTCATTATATTATATTCTTATTACTTTATTAGCGAATACATTATCGCTCTAGTTAAAGTCTGATAGTGATATCTAAGCAAACTGTGAATGACGTAATGTTCTATCAAATTCTGAGCCAAACACCGCAGCGAGGTCGCGTTCAAGCTCAAGGTTATAAGTAGGCTCTACAGGCTTTACGGTCCACGAACTTTGTGAGAAGTACCAAACTAAACTTCTTAATGTTTTGATCGTGAATGTTGAGGAAAAAAAGGGGCGTCTTTGAATTACGTTTCCATTGTTTTAAAATACAGTTTTTGTACGTAGGGCCTAAGGCCCAGTCACATTACTTTAAGTACATATGAAAAATAAAAGTAATTTCGACTAATAAAACTTGACCAATAGTCAAACGGAGCGTTAGAACTTGTAGGTATAGTAACTAAGAACGGTAAGATCCTATAATGGTGACTAATGGGAATTAATTGCCGTGCCTACGCTGTCAATTCAATTGAAACGTATTATTTAAGGAAATCCTGAATTCTTACCACATGCTACGTGATACAGCATAAAACGTCATAAAAAATTCGAGTGAGTCAAAATCACCGCAACTCATATTTTTCATGTGAGTACCTAAGTATAACCCGAAATGCGCACTTGGTTTTTATTAGGTACTACCTATGAGTATTTACACAATTTGCACAAAAGTAAGGTAACAATTTTAATAATGGGTGGATCTACTAAGCCGGCCTTAGCTATACTTTTTGCTCTTCTGAGAATGTAATAACGAAACACGTTGATCATTCTCATTGATCTAGCTAGTCACTAGTTTTTTATTGTAGCTTTTGCGGTCTCGCTCGAGTTTGAATGACGGATTCAAAAATACTAGTTTAGGAATACAGGCTAAATGAAATTCAGGAACGCTTTACTCGTATGCTTAGGAGAAGTCGTTCATTAAACTATTCGGTAATTAGTAGCTGGTAAGAGAACACGATGCGTAGGTACTTACACATTTACTACTACTTAGTATAAAAAGCTATTAAATGTACAATGTAATTCAATAACTATTTATTTTATTGATATACACTAAATACATGGATTGCCTCAATCTAATTGAACAATTCCCGGGTCATAAACCCCTACGCAAAGACTGAAAGACTTATTTAAACGATTGCCAGTCTTTGTTTGTGGCTCAACGTTCGTCACAAGCTTCATTTGTTTGCACTATATTACTCATACAGGATGTCGTCAGGTAATTATCATGATAATAATATGCGTTTAATCTAAAGTACAAAATATTAAGATGAAACAATAGGTACCTGGGTAAACGACAACAAGGCTGTAAGGGAAACTAGCTAATAAGACTATGAGGAAAGCTAGTAGACAGAAGTAACTGTACACAGTATACTGTATACATCGGTGTCACAAGTTATGCCACTAAACAAGGGGTAATTTGATTAAAATAGGCAGGTAAGATAATTAGATATGTTTTTCTTCTCATTGAGTATTCAGCAATCGATAAATACTGAATTTAGAGAATGCGAATTATCAAAGGATTATAGGCAAGTTTTATTCATATTACTATAAAACCACTATTAGGTAAGGGCGGATCCTTACACTAAACTAAATATGGCGTCAAATAGGCAGAGCTTAGCGAGTCACGACTCATGATCGATCGGATAAAAGCCCCGACAACGACAGCTCGGGCAATGAGCCAAAACCATAGCACTATTTTTCTGCCCGCTATAGAAAGGTTAAGGTCATGTCAAACAAGAGGCCTACGCTAAATATTGAATTGTTTCTGAGAAGTCTTAATTAAGGACTTGTTGTTTTTCATCGAACAATTACTAGTCAAACAAAGCATGACTTGGAATATCTAGATACAACGGGTGTAAACCGAACGCCACTCGGGCATGAGGGTCCGAAACCTGGCAAGTACCTACGAATGTGACTTTTTCAAAGTTTATCTAGACATTTTAACTCAGCAGTAGGCACTTAATACTAGATTTTTTGTTCTCAGCAACAATAATTTTACATTTCTTACTCATCACATCATGCTTCACGTTGTTTTCTGTAGCTTGACGCTAACGGGATTTTCATTTATTCTTATGATGTAGATGTAAACGTGA